CTTTTAGAGAAGAAATGTACATTTATCATGATAATATAAAATAATCAATCTTTAACGTTCTGGTATCGAGGATTACCGCCCGAGAACTCTTAGCAATATAATACTAAAAGAATATAACAACAATCTTGGCCTGAAACATTCGATGAGTGTAACCCCCTTTCCTAAACCTAATTGTTCCTATATATAGTGATGTGGCGCTACAGACATGAATCACACGCTTCTCGTTGTAATCCCATAAATCATGCCATATTATGAACTCATAAATCTTGGTATTTATGATCGTTATCTTGCTCATCCCACAGATCGCGGGATCTTATTAATTGCCCAAGCGGACAAGTGAATCCCTCCATATTCGAGTTCCCATACGTATAATTTGAGGTCTTACCAGTATACAACATTTGTCATTTATCCAAGAGATATCTTTGTTGGGAGACTTGAAATTTTGTCGATGCACCACGGGTTGGCCAATAGGAGACCACCATGGTACACTTGTATATAAAACGTGAGTGACTATTTTGTGTGAAAGTGTTTTTAAGAACTATTCTTTGATGTGACACCTTTTACCCCATAAATAATTATACAATTAATATAACATAAAATTTTCATAATTAAAATAAGGTCTCCAAGCACGTAAGGGTAAAAGGCTCACATTCACATATTAAACGCTTTCATAATAAAGTAAATTAAATATCAAGGTAATTAAAGTAAATAAATAACTATATCCAAAATCAGAAATTAATATCATAAGAAATCCAAATCACCAAATAAAATGTCCTAATCTATCTCATGGTATCGCATATCCTAATCAGAGCTTCCCACCTACGTATCATCATAGAATTCATCGGCATTAGGTTGAAAGTCACCTGTAAGCATAAATGGAAATACACACAAGAACAAACAAGAGAGTGAGAAACGTCTCACTCGGGTTCAAGTGCAAAAACAACGGTCAAATAACACGCAGACAAAGCAATCACAAACAAGGCACACTTACAAGCCATACATAAACCAGTAACACATGCACAATCACTTATCATGCAATGATGACATGGACACGACTCATAAATGCATGCATGTGGTTCTAGTCACGTATCTCATTATCACATATCACATGGTATATTGCCGAAGCAACATACCTGGAGTAGTCTAGGAGTACATGTCGGCTCAATCGCGCACTCTCAACTAGAAGGATGTACTACTAGGGTCTCGTCGGGATAGCGAAACCACGCAAGATATGTCCCATGCACACAAATGAGTAGAATTGGGCCTTCCAAACCGCGCTATTCCCTAGGACTCCTCCAAGATGTTTGACACTTAGAGGGTCTTCTCTAACGGTGTACTTCATATCGTACCCCGTCACATAAATGCATATGATGCATGTCACACATTCACAAACTCATGGACTCAACATTTCACTTATCATATCACATCAGGTCTCACGTCACTTGTTCAAATTTCACATTTCTCATACTCATAGTCACAAGGTCACATATAAGAGATTCTCATCCTCATAGAAATACATCACTTGCATTAACACAATAATAAGACAATTCTCACACCATTAGCACCTTCAAAGATGGCTTAAAACTTTCTATTTTTGAAATTAACCACATATTCACATTCAACAAACATCAAGGAACACAACATAAAACTCAAACATCAAAAAAGAAAACATTCATATTTTGTCTGTTTCTCGTAGGGTTTTCTAGAACCCGTAGAGCACTCTAATCCCTATCAACATATATTCAAACTCAAAATTAAATATATATTCATGCTCAGTAATCATCAGGAAACACAATAGAAAACTCAGAAGGCAAAACAAAAAAATCAAAATTTGTCTGTTTCTCTTAGGGTTTCCCATAGGAACCCATAAAGAACTCTAATCCATATCAAAACATATTCAAACTCAAAATTTAACATACATTCATGCTCAGCAATCATCAGGAAATACAACAAAAAACTCAGAAGCCAAAACAGAAAACATTCAAAATTTGTCTATTTCTCATAAGGTTTTCTGTAGGAACCTATAAAGCACTCTAATTCATATCAAAACATATTCAAACTCAAAATTAAACATACATTTATGTTCAATAATCATCGGGGAACACAATAGAAAACTCAAAAGCCAAACTTAAAAGCCAAAACAGAAAACATTCAAAATTTGTCTGTTTTCGTAAGGTTTCATGTAGGAACATATAGAGCACTTTAATTCATATCAAAACTTATCTATTCTCGAAATTGAACGCATATTCACACTCAGAATCACAAAAGGAATGCAATAGAATAATCAAAAAATAAAATAGAAAACTTTCATAATTTGTTTGTTCCTAATGCATCAGGCAAGGGATTGAGAGTCAATCCGACTACCCAACAATTATTTCCACACTCCCGAACGAGGTTTCTCACTCTCCCCTTACCTTGATGAGTAGAGGACGAGGCACGAGCGAAATCTGGCTGGTCTTCTTCTCCAAGGGTCCCCTGTTCTTCAGAGCGTAAGAGAGAATGAGGGTCAGAAGAGAATGAACGTAAATGAATACGTGAAAATAACTTGTAACTTATGATAACCTCCCTTAACCCTATTTTTCTCAATTAATAAAATAAATATTAATAATAAATATCAAAAGACCTCCACGTCTTTACTTCCCTTCTTATCACCTAAATAATACCCTAATATAATTAAAATATATCTCTTTCCTTTTAATCAAATAACATAAGCATCAAAAAATAAAATACATTTCACAAAATTACCTTCACAATACTAATCAAAATAATAATAATAAAATCACGTCTCATGCATAAAATATAATTTATATAACAGATTAAATAATATTCAAAACTCTAAAATAAATACATTAAAAACAATCAAAATACATTTTTTTCTTTTTTAATTAAAAATAACATATGCTTATCCTTTAATAAAACACATTTCATAAAAACCTGTTCCATATCAAATAATCAAATATTAATTAAAAATCATTATTTATATTAAAACAGAGCTCACATAAAATAGGTAAATAATATAAAATATACTTCTTTCTTTTTGTAAAAATAACATATGTTTTATATATAAAAATTAAAGCTCATATCAAATAATTAAATAATATTAAAAATCCTTCTAATAAACACATTAAAACATTAAAATAAATATTACATATTATTAATATAATTTTATGAAAATCGGGGTGTTACATTTAACGAAAGTATTTGTAATTTTTTAATTTATATAATTCATTTTTTTTATTTATCATATTTACTTATAAATTAAATTAACTTTGAACTTTTATATATTAAACACAAATTACTTTCTTGTGTAAGAGTATTTTTAAGGACTAGTATTTAACAAGTATGTTTAGAGATTTTTTTAACTTCTAATATAATTCAATTTTTTTTATTATATTTATTTATGAATCAAATTTTAATATTTTTAAAATAAATTATCAATAAATAAAAATAATCTCATGCCTTCATATAAATTATTTATCTTATATAAAAAAATATAATTTATATATTTAAAAATATCTATTTATACAAATTTTAAATATAATTTATATATTCAAATATAATATTTATTTACATATATAATTTAATATAAATTTTAACTATATATAATAAACATTTAACCCGTGAAATACACAAATTAAAATACTAGTTATCTATCTAAAATTATAATTATAATAATAATAAGGAAGATATACTTTTTGATGTAATTTTTTGATATCCATTTTTTCTTTACAATTACTCCTTTGTAGTTTTTTTTATTTCATACTGAAAATCATCCACACTTATCAAATTAACTATTCCCAATTTTTATTTATTTATTTTTTTTAAAAAGAAGCAGGACCTCTTTTTCCTAAATTTATAATTATATTTGGCCCCTCTAAAGTTAAAAAAATTCTCTTTGGAAGATAAAATATAATAATTGATTAAAAATTAATGATAAATATTATAATTAATTTTATATTTTATTATATACGCATTGAATTTTATCATGATTATCAATTGATTTTTTAATTAACAATTATGAGTTCATTTTATTTTAAAAAATGTACTCTTTTACTTTAGAAGAATTAAATTCATAAATTTAATATCAAAATAAGACATAAATTGTTATATTAGTTAAATGAATGGCTAGTGTCGGCCTAGTAGTGACTATAACCTATTTGTATAAGAGATGAAAGACGAATAATACGTATAAGATTTTAGGTTCAAAATTCTTGTTTGGTGAACATATTTTTAAATAATTTTTTCCTTTATTAACTACCTTTTAAGTTTTAATCACCTTTTCTTATTCCATTGTAAAATTCATTCTTAAAATTTTATATTTTTCAAATAATTGTTGACACCAATAACTAAAATTAGCATAATGATTAGAGTTAGCTTAATGATTAAGTATACAGAAGAATTAGATTCATTAAAAATATGAAAACTTAAGTTCAATCTTTATTATGACTATCTTTATAATCTTTTATATCCTTAAAAAAAAACTATTGACACCATCAAAATTAACTACCAATTTTTGTTTATTTAACAAACATACAAAATCCATTTTTCCTTCTAGTTATTTAATAAAATAATTTATTCTATTCGGTGTCTACAGTTTTTTTAGACAATTGTTTGTAACATTCTCTCTTAAATTACTTTTTTCTTAATATATTTCAAAATTTACCCTCATAATTACACCTATTTAAAATAAGTGTCACTCACTTTTATTTATTTTTTAAAAATACAAAGAGCATGTAAAGAAAATGAAAAAAAAAAGCACTAAGAACAACTAATGCTTTTGATACGCCAATACCGATAAAAAAAATTGTAGTAGTAATATAAAAAATACAACATGCATGAAGGACACAAGGAGTTTCAAACCACAACCGTTGATCTTGCACGTAACCCCACAAAAACCCATCTGAACCGTTGAACTTGAATCCGTGTCAATTTAACTGCATTTGAAGACCGAGCTATAAATTTATCTGAAATAACTCCACAGTGAATGACGCCGCAGAGTGAAGCCCATTGTTCTTCTCTTCCGACCTTTGAATCTGTAAGCTTCTTCTTTTCCAATTTCCCTTCTAACTTCTCGTTTTGGCTTCAAAAGTTTGCATCTTTGAATTCTCGGAAGTCAATTGTTGCATAGGATGGGAGTGATTTGGGGCGAACAATTTTAGGGCTTTGAATTTAGAATGAACTAATCCAAAATTGGGACTTCACTTTAATTTGATTCTTTGGGTTAAGTCTGACATCAAAGGTGCACTCACCTGGGTGTAATTAAGAAGAAAAAAAACGATATTTTGAAATTTCTCAACATGGTCCTTGTGTGGTCTGGTGAGAATTTTGTTTTCGGAATTGCATGAATAGGGTTAACCGTACCCTTTTGATGGGGTGATGTTTTTTTCTCTGGAAATGGTGCAAAATGAATTAAAAGAAAAAGTTTTTTTTTTTAATTTAATTTTTTTTATTTATAATGGATTTAATTATTCTTCCCCCCATGGTTGACAGCGCTGAGTAATACGTGTTGATTTTTTGTTCATCAACTGCATTCCTTTGTTAGTTTTGATCATAACTGCGAGAAATGCTTTATTTGTTTAGGAATTAGTGTGATTCTGAATTTAATTTTTTTGATGTGCGGTTATTTTTGTGTTCTTGGATGTGTTGGTTTTGTGACATGGGTTTTTAGTTGATAGAGCTTGTGCCTGATACTTTCAAGTGATGCTGGGAAATTGCGCAAGGGCTTTGAGTTGCAATAAGCTATGAAATGAATTTCATTGAGATCCCACCTGATGGAAGTGGCAAATAGTTTTTAATTCAATTAAGTAGTCCTGGAAGATTTGGTTTCTTCATGAATGTCGTTCCACCGTTCCAGTTGATTATTTATTTTGATCCTTGCTTGGAGGTAGGAAATGATTTGAAATGCTACACATATACTTACTTTTTTTTTTTTTTTTTTTTCCATGTTTCTATTGCATTGATATGTTGTTAACTTGTATTAACTTTTTAAGGCTGTATTAGCATTTTGCATACATTTGATGCGTGATGGCTGTATTTAATGAATTGAATTCCTTCATCCAATACAATGAACTTATGTGTTTTCTTGATATTTGTCTTCTTAAATTCAAAGCAGGTTAAGATGGAAACTCTTCATCTTTGATCATTTATCACTCTTATATTTATTGGATTAGTTGAGAAATATGAATTTAATTGGTCGAAGTTTCTTCTTGTAACTGCCAAATGATGCTGGGAGATTGCGCATGGGCTTTGAGTCATTTAACTACCATATTTGTTGTTAACAATGAAATGAATTTGATGGAAATCCCAACTGATGGCAGTAACTACACAAGTTTTTTATTGTGTTATATTTTCTTCAAGAGATGGATTTATTTTGATCATAATTCTTACTCTTTGATTCATTGATGAATGTAGGAAAGGTTTGTGAGATATTATAAACTTTTGGCAATGATTGAGCAATGGATTTATTTTTTACTGGATTTCAATATGTTCATGGATAACTTCTTGATGGAAGTGACAGCAGTTATATTTTTCTTAAATTAAGTGGTCATGGAGAATTCTTGTTGTTCAAGTAGATTTGTATTATGGTTATCATGTCTTGTCTGAAGGTTTGAAAGACAGGCTAAAGTTTTAGCAGTAATTACATGCTGTAAATATACAAGGATGCTGTACAATGTGTACAATAATTCAACACTATTGCTACCTATGAAGCACAAATGCATACATAGCGACACAAACACTAATTTCTAAAAGTTGTGTGCATAACAGACAAGATTCAGAATTCATCATATCATTCTAAATTCTTCAAGATTTACAAGATCTTGATATATCATGTATGTCATATGCCAAAATGAAATGAAAAAATTGGGAGTGAAATTGGTATGCAACAAAAGGATTGCTGCATATTTTCTTTCTGTATTTTTTGTTATTAAAAATTGCATGAAAATATTAAACAGACCTAACCTCTGTTTGAGGAGTGTGTTTGGAATTTTAAATGATTGTATCCTTGCTTTATAGATTGTCATTATTTTATAGCAAGCATGATTGGATGCTTTCTGCTTGCAAATGAACAATAAAATAGTAGTACCAGATTTGGGACCTTTGTTGAAGTTATGCTACTAGTAAAAAAGGAAATGGAATGCAGATGAACATTGTGCTCTTCCATTCTTTTTCCATCAGTTCTGTTTTACTAATTATAGGCTTAATGCCTCCAGTCCTCCACCTTTAAAGTCATTCATGAGTCATTACCCATGAAACTGGAGTTTTGTGGTTGGATTTTGATTTCTGATATTTTATTAGGGTAGGGAGTTTTCGTATGGCTCCAATTTGTTTGCATCCTTATATAGTTAAGTTGCACACTTGCACTTCATGTCAAGAATTGTTCCCATAGATCTTACTTTAGTGTAAATTTTAGTTACAATTATTGGTTAATCTTCTTTTCTTTTTGGTAGTTTGCTTCAACTTTTGAGACTTGTTTTTGTCTCTGTATCTTTCCTCCCTTTGCTTTGGATCCCTCCTCCCCACTCTTTCTATTCACATGCATGAACCCATACTTACATGCCATGTTTTGTCATGCAGCATTTACAACCGTGACACCTTTTGTATATACAAATTTACAGACATTTATATAATTGATCTGATCTTGGATTGATTAATGAAGCACATTGTGAAGATTTTGACATTGGTAATGGCCATTACTGCATTATGGGTTGGCCTTCTACAAACTTCTATGATTCCACGCAGTCATACTTGGTTGGTATGTCTTCATGTCATCATATGCTTGTTTTTTATTTATTTATTTATTTTTTTGGTTCAAAATAGTTTTTGGGAGGGGAGACCTTCTGTTTCCAAGGTTAGGCTTGCAACAGGCCTAAATGAGTGCTTACAGTTGCACATATAGATTCCCTACCAAGGGGGATTACTGGAAGCTTGATTCAAACCTTAGCCTTATAAGTAAAGTGCTTTGATCTTTTCCAGCTGAATTATTCCTGTTGGTAACCCCATTTTGTTGAATTTAATCTGCATAATGCTGATTATGCCTTGTTCCTGTCCTCTATGCAGCTACCCATATATTTTGTTGTGTCCTTAGGATGTTATGGTCTATTAATGGTTGGAGTGGGTCTGATGAATTTTCCAACCTGTCCCCAAGAAGCTCTATTGTTGCAGAAGGTATTCTTCTACGCCTTGTGCTAATTAGATACTGCAATGTTGTGTAATGAATTTCATGATTTGTGCTTTTATAGTGCCTTTGGAATATGGATGTTACTAGATGTGCGTGGGTGTATAGTTTACTATCATTTCACAATTGTATGTGTATACACATAAGTTATTTCAGGTCTGAAAAGATGATTATGTTTAATTTCCAAATACTTATTTTGGATGAAAAATTAACTATTATTGGGTTTATCAAAATTAGATGTTATTTTTTTTATAAAAAAAAAAAAACTTTATAGGAAAAGGATAAGTTGATAGAAGTAAAAAATAGAAAGAAAAGGAATGTTAAAGGCGAACGGCCACAGAAAAAGGAAAAAAGCCAGTCACAAGTTTCCCAAAACACCATCCAAAGAAATCTCCTGAAAGCATACTTTTTTTTTTTTCTGCCACCTGCTATTCAATGGTTCCTACTTATTATTGTTGTTGTTAAAAGGTTTAAAGACTCCACTCTATAGTTTAAAGCATGGATCTTCTAATATTTCATATCTCGAATGCTGCAGTCGATAGATTATGATTCACATCCTCTTGCTTTGTTGTATAACTATGTCCATCACACTGTAATGGATCATCGTCTTCATTATCATTGAACAATAATTCTGTCACTGATATATATTCTGCAACATGTACCATGTGAAGTTCCAATTATTCTACTAAAAATTATTACCGTAAGTGTGGATCATCAACAGGATCAACCACCTAAAAGCTTAAGCTATTATTAGGTAGAGGCAAATGAATGTTATTGTATCTCCAACACATACATTCATCAATGAAGGTTCTTGTTCTGTTACGTTTGTGCATTTTAGTGGGTCCTTTTCCAAGTTCAGGTAGGAAATAAAAGCCATCAGCTTTATAGAAACCTAATTTTGTCAAAATAATGGATCATAGTCCCAATGTAAGTCTTCTTTACTGCTCTTCCTCTTCTAAATTTGCACTATAAGAAAATGATTTTGCTTCCCCATTTCTTAACACTGTTCAAATAATGGTTTAATTCTTATGGTTATTATGCACTTACTATTTTGATCCTTCTAATTTCCCTTTAAGCAATTAACTAGAGCTGATCATTATGACTAGATTATAATAGACTAATGCTGGATTCATGATGTGGCAAAATTGAAGCCATTGTTACTAGTTAGAATTCTGACATGGTCTGCCATTTGTGGCATGTCGCGAAACCGCCAATAAAGTGATGCTTATTTTTGCTTCTTTTCAGGACATTGTTGAGGCTAAGGAATTTCTGAAACAAAAAGGAGTTGATGTTAGTCTCAGCTGATGTTCTCAGATCTTCCATGATGTTCTGAATTAGCTGCTGACAATTACCTGAATGGTAGTTGCGAAGGATTTTTGGCTTTAACTTACACTAAATACTAATGTGGGAACTGCTTTCAATTTTGGCTAATGTACATGAAATGAACTGTTTATTTCGATCAATGGATTATATGCATATTGGTTGCAAATTTTTAATCTACAAGAACACCAGAAACTGGTATTAAAGTCATGTTGGATTGAGTGGTTTCAATGGAATAAACTGAAGGTGTTTGCATAGTTAATGTCGATATTACACGTTAATGAGCTATAAATTGCAACACTTTCTACCAGATTCAAACAGGGGGTTCTTATTACAGAAGTTGATTTGATCTCGAGTAAACATGTATTGGTTTCTTACGAAGTATAAGAACTATTTGTTAAATTTGCCAAAGATAATCTTAGGGAAGCGATGAAATACCTCAGACCAATTCAGTTTGAAGAATCAACTTTGGTTTCTTATTGAAGAGCAATTTTAGGCTTTTATTTCACTTGAATATTTTATTTTCTATTTGTCAATCACTTTGGGCAAGAGCTTGCTGTTACACACATGATCATTACAATCTGCGGTGAACACAAAATGGACGCTGTGAGCCACTTGGTTCTTATATGAAACAAAGCAACTGGTCCAGTTTAGGGCGCTAGAAAAGCCCGTGGGCTATGCACCTCCATAGGCAAGTTTATAACCAAGCTTAGAAGTGTTTCTAGGAATTTTTTTTAATTAAAAAATAGAATATTTTTCGAAAGAGAAATTTTTTTATGACATTTTTAACTTGTATCCAAATAGGTTCTATCACGTTCCAATGAAAGAATGAACCCAAAAAAAAAAAACCATCATAACCTGTAGGGGTAGAATTACATTGTTTCTTTGTTTTTTTTTTTTTTAAAATAGAATTTCAATTTTTATAATAAAAATTTTCATTTACCGATTTTTTAACATTTAAGGCCTAAAATCACTAAATTTATTATAAAAATAATGTTTTTATAGTAAATGTTATGTGTAACAAAATATTTAATATTTTTTATTAGTGGAAATTATTACTAATGTTTGATTTTTATTTTATTGTAACGTGTGTATGTACACACACACATATATATATATATACAAATATTTATTTCACTTGATAACTCATGTTTTATGTAACACTCCGATTTTTCATACTTTATATAAATAAATTTTGGAATTATTTTGATATTCAGTATAATTATTTTAGAACTTTAATATTATTTAATTAAATATATGAGCTTTATTTTATTTGAGACACGATTTATAATGATTATTTTGATTAGTGATATATATAGGTAACTTTTATGAAATGTATTTTATTAATTTTATGTTTGTATTTATTTTAATATTTTAATGTGTTTATTAGAAGGATTTTTAATATTATTTAGTTAGTAGATATGAGTTCTATTTTTATATAAACATAAGTTATCTTACTAGAAGGGACAAATATATTTTATATTATTTATCTATTTTATGTGAAATCTATTTTATTATAAAAATGATTTTTAATTAATATTTGGCATATTTGCTATAAGACCATTTTTGTGAAAATATGTTTTTATCAAGAATTATGTTTATGTTATTTATTAAAAGGAGCAAATATGTTTTAATTATTTTATGAGAAAGGGAATGAGGGACGTAATGGTCTTTTGTAAATTATTATTATTATTTTATTTTTTTTAAGAGAGAGAAGTTATTAGAAGTTAAGAGAGTTGTCACGAGTTTTATTTTTACATTTCTTACTTATTTCTCATTCCTTTTATGCTCTCTGAAAACTCAAGAGAACATGAAGAGGAGATCACTAGGGAACCATGTGCGCTTCATCTTCTGCTCATCCAGGTAAGGGGGGAGTGAGAAACCTCACTCGGGGTCTGGGAATAATTGTTGGGTAGCAAGATTGACCCCAATCCCTTGCTTGATAAGAACAGACACTTTATGAAAGTTTTTTGTTTTTCTTTCTGATTGTTCTGTTATGTTCCTTGTGTAAATATGCGTTTTATTTCAATAATAGATAAGTTTTGATATGAATTAGAGTGCTCTATGGGTTCCTACGGGAAACCCTATGAGAAACAGGTAAATTTCAAATGTTTTATGTTGTGTTCCTTGGTGTTTGCTGAGTATGAATGTGTTTGATTTCAAAAACAGATAAGTTTTGATATGAATTAGAGTGCTCTATGGGTTCCTACGGGAAACCCTATGAGAAACAGGTAAATTTCAAATGTTTTATGTTGTGTTCCTTGGTGTTTGCTGAGTATGAATGTGTTTGATTTCAAAAACAGATAAGTTTTGATATGAATTAGAGTGCTCTATGGATTTCTGTGGGAAATCCTATGAAGTGAAATTAGGGATATGATCTTCAGATGAGTTTTGAGGCATTATATGTAAAATTGATTATGGATTCGTGTTTGGGATAATATTTGGAGTGTTTTGACCGATTCAAATATTATATTAATTGGCTAGTTTTAAAAACAAATGTGTAAACTCATGAAGTTCGGTTTATGACCTTTATGTTTCCTTTGTTAGGAATTGCGAATTGAATGCGTATGATGTTGAATAATTTCTTGGTATGGTTTATGTGCTATTCTGGTGTATATGCCTATGAGAAGTTTCTTGTATGAGACTGTGAATATGATGAGACAATATGAAAAATGAATGTGAGACATGAGACATGATGATATGTGTCAATGAGACATGATATATGAGAAACTATGACAAGTGAAATGATAAGTCAATGAAGTGTGAATGTGTGACATGCATCATGTGCATCTATGCGAAGGGCACCATGTAGAGTACACCGTTAGGGAAGACCCTCCTTGTGTAACAACTTGGCGGAGTCCTAGGGGATAGTGCGGTTTGAATGTATTGATTTCGCCTATTTGTGAGTACGAGACATAACTTGCGCAGCTTCGCTATCCCGACCAGACCCTGATAGTACATCCTTCTAGTTGAGAGTGTGTGGGTAGCTCCCTACATGTACTCCTAGACTACCTTAGGTGTGTTGTTTCAACAGCACACTAGTGATATGTGATATGTGATTGGTGCCACATGCATGCATCTATGAGTCGACTTATATGAGTGAGATGTTTCTCACTCTTTTGTTTGCTCTATGTATGTCTTTTATTGTGTTGTAGGCGACCATCAACATGAGGATGTTGGTGACAAAGTTTAGGCTTCAATTGGGCGTGCTCTGATAGGACATGTGACATAAAGTTGTAGTTAAGACTAGGCTAGGATGTTGTTTAAATTAAAATGTTTTGAAAACATTAGTTTATTTTCCTTTGTAAACTATACATTAGAGTTATGGTTTATGAGTTGTGAATGTGAATCTTTTATCCTACACTTATTTTATCCATGAAAGATGTGTGTGTGTGTGTGTGTCTGTGTCTGTGTCTGTGACTGTGTGTGTGTGTGTGTCTGTGTGTGTGTCTGTGTGTGTCTGTGTGTGTCTGTGTGTGTCTGTGTCTGTGTGTGTGTGTGTGTGTGTCTGTGTGTCTGTCTGTGTGTGTGTGTGTGTCTGTGTGTGTGTGTGTATTTAGGGTTTAGGGTTTAGGGTTTTCGGCTACATAGTAGTTGTATTATTCTAAGTGTAATGATTTATTTGATCGTTACAATTGGTAAGACATTTAATAGAAGGCGAGATTTAAATGTACATTTATTACTATTAAGTATTGGAGGAATGTTAATGAATTTTATTGATATAATTAATGAGTTTTTTTTAATCCATACATTCATCCATAGGGTGTTTTTTATATTTATGTATTTTAATTTTTTAAAATAAAAATGTCCTATTTAAAAAAAACCAAATATATTAATTTGTTATATTACTTCATTTATAGTTTGTAATTTATCTATGATCTACAAGTTTGATAGTATTTTAAAAGTAGTCCTGGTTCAAACAAGATTATATTTATAACCAGTAAATAAAATTAAGCGATAGGTAGAATTTTCTTCCAACAATTAATTATACATGATCAACTGACCAAGAGTATTTATGATGTATTTTATCTTTTTATAATATAGAGTAAAATAAATTTGACATACTTTTTAGTCTGAACTAAGATATTTTAGAATTTCTTTTTTAGATATTTTATTTATTTAATTAAATTATATTAATTGATGAACCATTTATTAAGAAATGAGATTTAAACGTACATTTATTTCTATTAAGTATTAGAGGAAGGATAATAGATTTTTATGATTTCATTAATGAGTTGTTGAATTCTTATATTCACTTATTGATTACTAACATTAACATTTTAACATGTGAAATGCATAATATAATTATTTACTTTACATAACTAAATTTATAATAAATATATTTTTGATTATATATTGTATTATAATTAAAATTAATAACAAATAAATAGTTTCAAGTATATAAAATTATATTTTAAATTTAGAGTAAATAATTTAAAATATGATAAAAAAATATTTTTTTATTATTGATGATATTTATCAAAAGAAATATTGAAATAAAATAGATGATTTTTTTTTAAAATATATTAAAATAAATACAAAAGTGTTGTATTTAAAGAAATAAAAGGTTAAAAAATATTAAAATAATTATAAAATATGCATACATATATTATTTGAATTTCAAAGATAAAATATATTTCATTTTTTTATTTAGGTATTATGTCTAGATTTTTTTTTATTCGTCCCTAGAGTATCTACTGCCGATAGCAGTGACTAATCTCCTCGCTACGTTGGAGGCACCTCAAAGGGTAGGATAGATGTTATGTCTAAATAATACTATAATAGATCATTCATTTAATATATGAAAGATAGAGATACCTAATATTAGGAAAGTAAAGTTCACCTATTTCCGTAGGAAAATTGATAGATAAAATATTAAAACAATATTGAAATAAATATGAAATAATATATTCAAAGATATGAGGTTAAAAAATATTGAAATCAATTTTTATATATTAAACACGAATTTCTATTTTAGGTAAGAGTGTATTTTAGAGTTTTTCTTCGACGAAAGGATTTGCAATTTTTTTTAACTTCTTATCTAGTTTGATTTTTATTTATCATAATTATTTAAAAATTAAAATATTGATATTTTAAAATAAATTATCAATAAATAAAATAATTTTTTATTACAATAAAAATTATTTATCATAAATCTAAAATATTATTAAAAAATATTCATGTATATTAATTTTAAATATAATTTATAT